TCCATCCCAGGCCCCTGGGATCATGACCTGAACTGAAGGCAGCCTCTTAACCAACTGAGCCATCCAGGTGCCCCTTTTTAGAGCCTTTTTTCTCATTTGAGCACCATCTTTTTTTCTTTATTCCTCCAATGAGTCCAACCTAAGCCAAACAAGAAGAGGTAGGTCATCTAATAAGGGAAGTAGCTTCTGTTAATGGCACGGTTTCTTGTAGCCCCCTTACCACAGAAACTGAACTGATCCTGCCATGGCTAAGGGGATAGGGCTTTGTTGGCAAATCAGATTCTCTCTTTCCTATCATCCCTGACCCTAGTACTTCCCTGTCAGAAGGAAAGCTGAATTTTTCTTAAATTATTTTTAAATTTTGTTTTGGTCTGGGTGTATTTTTTTATCGTGAAAAACACATAAAAGTGATCATTTCAGCTGTTTTAAAGTATACAGTTCAGTGGCATTTAGTACAATCATAATGTTATACAACCATCATCACTATGTAGTTCTAGAACATTTTCATCACCTCAGGAGGAAACCCTGTACCCATTAAGCAAGTCACTCTACATTCCTAACTTCCCCCAGCCCTTGGCAACCATTAGTCTGCTTCTTGACTCTATGGATTTGCCCTAATCTAGATATTTCATATAAACAGCATCATAGGGATCCCTGGGTGGCGCAGCAGTTTGGCACCTGCCTTTGGCCCAGGGCGCGATCCTGGAGACCCGGGATCGAATCCCACATCGGGCTCCCGGTGCATGGAGCCTGCTTCTCCCTCAGCCTGTGTCTCTGCCCCTCTCTCTCTCTCTCTGTGTGACTATCATAAATAAATAAAAATTAAAATAAAAAAAAAAATAGGGATCCCTGGGCGGCGCAGTGGTTTGGCGCCTGCCTTTGGCCCAGGGCACAATCCTGGAGACCCGGGATCGAATCCCACGTCGGGCTCCCGGTGCATGGAGCCTGCTTCTCCCTCTGCCTGTGTCTCTGCCTCTCTCTCTCTCTCTCTCTGTATGTGTGTGTGACTATCATAAACAAATTAAAAAAAATAAAAATAAAAATAAACAGCATCATATAGAGGTGCCTGTGTGGCTCAGTTGGTTAAATGTCTACCTTCAGCTCAGGTCATGATCCCAGGGTCCTGGGATCGAGCTCCACATTGGAATCTCCCTCTGCCTTTCCTCCTGGCTTGTGCTATCTCTCACTCACTCACTCTCTCAAATCAAATCTTTAATAAATAAGTAGCATCATAAAATGTGACTTTTTGTCTTTGGGTTCCTTCACTTAACGTTTTCAACATTCAGACATGTTGTAACATAGATCACTACTTCATTCTTTATGATGGCCACATTTCTTTACCCATTCATTCAGTTGATGAACATTCAGATTGTTTCCACCTTTTGGCTGTTGTGAATAATGCTGCTAAGAACATTTGCCAAAAATTTTCTTTTCTTGCTATGCTATTGTCATAACTTAGAAGTCATTACCAATCCCAGGTCATGAAGAGTTACACCTATGTTTTCTTCTAAGAGTCTTTGTAGTTTTAACTCTTGCATTTAGGTCTCTGAACTATTTTATTTTTTTTTGTACATGGTATGAAGAGTCCAGCTTCATTCTTTTACATGTGGATATCCAACTGTCCTGGCACCATCTGTTGAAGAGACTGTTCCTTCCCCCACTGAATGATCTTGGCACCCTGGCCAAAAAAGCAGTTGGCTATAGATGGATGGGTTTAATTGGATGTATTTTTGTGGGACAAGTTCATTTCTGTCACTAGGGGATTTATTATCATCAAACATTTTGAAGGAGGGAGGTCCTTTACTAATTTGAATAGAATAGTGACATTAACTCAGAAGGGATCCTCTGACACTGTACCTCTGTTCCCATTTTCATTTCTCTAAACATTTAGAGCCATTCTTTTGTATCCTTTCCCCTTTGACTGCAAAATCTTACTGTTGAAATCTTTTTACCTTTGATAGACAGATGTACAGAAGATTTTAAGAAATGCAAGGAAACTACCTGAAAAAACACAGACATTTTATAAGGTGAGACTATCCGAATTATAGTGGAAGAGGGTGGGCTCTGGGATGTGTGCCAAAAATAAATGGTTCTCAATCGTCGGAGAATGTGATAGCAGAGTGAACATGGACAGCAGTTAGAAATATTTGGCTTATGCCTCAGTGTTTTCATTGATAAAGTCAGTAGAAGTGATAGGTCCACCACTGCCCTAAAATCCAAGAATTGGAAGTATTTAAGTGACCTGATTTTGTGCACAAGGGCTCCTCTTTATTGGTGCTGTGAGTGACTGAAGGAAGAAGTCAGAAGAACCTGTGGGCCAGCCCTGAACTCTCCTCATCACTCTCATATGAGTATCTAGTCCAACCCCAGGCAACCAGGATGACCTCCTGGGATGGTGATTTCCCAGAACATTCTTACCCACCCAAGAAGCTGCTTCCAGGAAGGACTACTAAAATTGTACTTTTATGAATTGGATAACGATGGCACTCCGGAAACCTGCCTAACTAATCCAGAACTATTGGCGGAGGGAATAAAGTTATAACTAGTGAGTGGAGTTGGGGGTGCATTTAAGGAAACACCTTGTTTCTTCCTTTTCCATCTAGTGTTTGGTTGAAATGAAATTAAGTGGTGTGTGACGTATGCGGTGTTGTCAGTTGTGGCCCAGCTGCTAATAGTTCACGGCGCACACAGCCTCCCTCAGGCTAGCATCTCTTCCGGAGAACATACGTGCTACTTTGGGTGTTATCTCATTATCTTTATGTCACTGTTGTCTTCAAACCTAATTATGTGGCAAGCTGGTGAAATCAAGCAAGAGCAACCTTAATCAGAGTTCAAACTAGAGCTGCTTGGCGGCCTTGCCCTCCCTCCCCATGAAGCCCATAGTGTACATGGCCCCTTGTGACCACTCCTTGGGGGTAGTCCCTCTCTTGCCTGCACACATTTGTCAACTGTCTACTCAAGAAGGCATACTCCTACTTTGGCCTTCTGCTGAACTTTTCTCTTGCTAACAGAAGATAGTAGCGAGATGGTCAGAAAGCCCACTTCCGGCTGTATACAATCCCACTATCAGATGTGGAAGGGCCTCGGCCAGGCAACTGTGTCAGCCCCTACAGTGGACGAGGAGGAGGCCATCCTTCTTGCTTTGTAAATGAAACCACTAAGACCTGGAGAGGCTACAGAATTAGCCTAGATTGCACTGCTAAGCGGTTGATGGGGCTTTTTGAATTTCAGTTTCCATCCACTACCCGACCCTTCTTTTTGTGAAATCTTTCAGGTCAGACTTCTTGAATCTTTCAGAACCTCCACCAAACATGTTCATTGTTGTTTGGCCTAAGGCCCAGTCAGGAAGGAGGTTAGAGGGTTCAGAGCCCCTGAGGTTTGGGACTAGCCTTTTCCATGCCTGAGTAACAGGAAAAGTCGTTCACTTGAGTGTTATGAGTGAATGAAATGTGTGCAAAGTGTCTCGTGTTTGGTGTCAGTGCTTATCAGCTGTGGTGATGACCACCTGTGTCTCAGCCAGCCAGCTTTCTGATCACCTGTAGAGGAACTCCCATCATGTCATCACACTCTCTTGTTACTAGCATCTCTATAAGCATTTGTTCCCCTATAAAAATGCTCACTTAAGTTAGGGGATCCAGAAAAACTTACTGAGTTGAGAGTACTTGGTATGTGATAAGGAAAATGCATTTTGTAAACATTGGTGGGGGTTTTCGATCTTGTTTCAGGAGCTAAACCGTTTACGAAAGGCTGCCCTGGCATTTGGTTTCCTGGATCTGCTAAAAGGGGTGGCTGACATGTTGGAAAGGGAGTGCACGCTGCTGCCCGACACAGCGCACCCAGACGCCGCATTCCAGCTGACCCATGCCGCGCAGCAGCTCAAGCTGGCCAGTACCGGCACCTCCGAGTATGCCGGCTATGAGCACAACATCACACCGTTGCACACAGACTTCTCTGGGAGCAGCGCTGAAAGGATGTGACGCTGACTATGGGAACCTGCCTTCTTTTTTTTCATGACAGGTGAAAATGACTTGGAGGTAAAAACTTTCCAATTCGTTCACCTCTGTAAGAACCACCTAAAGACCCTCTGAGGCTGCCTCAGAAGTACTGGCTTCTGAGTTTCAGTGACTGCTCGAACCTGAGGAGGGTTCTGAAGGGTGGTTGGCTGCTTGGGCTTTGACCTACGCTTTCTGGGGCTGAGTCTTTAAGCCCAGAAATCCACTGTTGCTCTCATGATGAGCACATCTCCTGAGAAACTTAAAAGACTGCTGAGCACAGAGCTCTCCCCACTTCTCAGGAAACCTAATCAACGAGGGTTCTCTGGCTTCCTGAAAGGCTCTTCTCACTCTCCTCTCCCAACCATTTGGATATTTCCCCACTTCTGTCCTTGGAATGAGCAGCCCAAATCGTCTGGGATTTGCTAAGTACAAGCCCAACACTATTAAGTTTCAGAACCTTAGAACTCGGGCAAAACCTTGATGGTAATAACCCTTTGGTGCTTTTGGTATGTCTTGACATACAGACTTTTCAACAGCAACCAGAAATGTGTAAAATGATTCCTGTTGCTTCAAGTTTTGTTCTGTTTTTTTGGATGAAAATAAAATACTTCATTTTCTATAAAACAGATTCCCTGGGAACCTAATGGGTCCTTGCCTTTCAGCCTGTCCTAGCATCTGAATGTAATTTCAGCTTCCTAAGTGGCCAGATTCGTAAATCTTGAGTTCCTTGGGTTCCATGCGGACATCCCTGTTTCTGGTTAGGTCTCTGCCTACGCCAGGTTCCACCCAAGTGGAAACGGTACCAATCCATTAGCTAGCTTCGTAACGTTGGCAAGTCACTCTGGATTTCCTGAGGGATCACTCCCGCAGGCCTCAACCCAAGCAACCCTTTAACATGCTGAGTTCAACATTTCACCAGGCTATCTACTATTTTGTCTGAACAAAGGACTTTCTCATTGACAGCTTGACAACCTCTCAGACTAAATGATCTGTAAACACAGGCTATTAGGATTTTGATTGTAAATGTTTAATAGAAATACACAATCTTTTGCTTTCTCAGACAGCAATAAAGAAGTTTAGAACAACCACTAAGAGTACAGGACTCTGCCACAAAGATGCAGCATGTGCTGCAAAGCTGATCTGGCCAAGTAAACAAAGTCAGTTGAAAGAACATCAGAAGTTAACACAAACAAATGTTGACAGAAGTTACAGACATGCAAAATACCCGTCAGTGCAATGAACTCGCAAAAAAAAAAAAAAAACCCAACCAGCCAACCTGTGCTAGTCAGATGTTTTTAGGTCAAACCCACGTTCCCATGTCGGGCCCAGAGAAAGAGCACAACTCACGGAGTCTCCTTTCCCCCAAGGACAATAGGAATAGCAGAACAGAAAGCTCTCGTGCTCTTAAATTCTTTTATACAAGCATCACTTCTAACACATATTTTACTTGGAATGTAGTAGAACAAACGATGTTTTTGACAATGGCCAAACTTTACAATGTTGACCTTTCTCTCAGTTTCTCTGTTGGTGGGTTTCCCACCAGGAAGCTTTGTTAAGCTCCAGAGTTAACTCCACCAGAGTTCTTACTCTGTTTTCACTCTCTGAGAGCAGATGAGTGAAACAACAGAACAAAGGCAGGTGCTTTTGCGGTCCGTTCCGCCCGTCACTCTGACAGGTATACAAGTAAATGGACTCAGCCAAGGCAGAGGAAGGAAGAAAGCTGTTTCACAACTGTCTTGTAGGTGTGTTTCATCCGCTCCCAGGTTGCTACAGGCTACACTGCCAGCAGCTGTTACTACCTACCAGGTGGACCCTTTGGACACCCTGTAGCCCACTTGGGTTTGGAACTCTTAGAATCTCACGGTTTTCTAAACTAATGTTCCATCTTTAGTGTTGAAAATAGTTCTGACTTAGCTCGGAATGAAGTAGGTGATCATGGTGTTCCAAGGTTCTGACTGGTTTCTCCCCATTCTGTGCCTCCTCAGTGTGCACACAGGTAAGCCCTATCCTATCAGGTGGTGTTAGAAGCCAAAAGATGATCAGAAGTAATCTGTGTTCTCTGGCCCCACTCAGACTCAGAAATGTTTTATCAGTGCCTAAGTCAAACTTGATTTTCAAAAAAAATCAAGGCCACCCCACTTCACAAGTCACCTCTTGGGTACAGAATGTGTAAGGTCGTGCCTGAATCACTTTCACAGGCAACAGTGCTTGTTTTTATCACAAGCAACCACTGAAATGAACAAATCCCAGCTATGAGAATGGCCAGTACCTGGTAGGGTTAGGTCACTGAAGAAAGATCTCTGGCCCATGTGAGAGCGACAGGACAAGGAGTACATGGGGGTAGGGCTGAGTGAGTCTTTTGCTGTCATTAATGGCACACACAAGAACAAACCTGTCATCAGGTATCAGGAATCCATGTCATGCAAGTATTACACTAAGATAATACAGATATTCAGGAATGTTACTGGAGAAAAGGGTAATATATATATAGCCTCACTGAGAATTTAATCATTTAACTTTAAAAAAACTTTTACATCAGTACAAGAAGGTAAAACTGTAAGAAGTATAGATTAGGCTCAACCTGGCAAGAAATCATCTAAATCTCTCTTTTCAGTGGATCTTTTTCTTTTTTTGTCCAAAGCACCGCCTGCGCTGTTTGTAAAGGTGACGGAAATTTATGTACAACCCTGAAAAAGAAAAAAAAAAGACAATGAGAGACCAAGGGAAAAGACCAAGGGAATCTTGGTCTATGTTTATAACCAGAAGTTTCTGGGGCAGGGACTATCTCCAGATGGCTGCTTATCCTTATCCCCACAGCACTGTGCTTACTACTGCAGGGTGCTCGGGAATTGTTAACTCTGAACAAGTTATCGTCAGTGCACTAGAGACCACTCACTTTGTCCCCGGTGGGTTTACTATTTCCTCTTCTCCCGTATTCTAATATGAAAATTTTCAATCATAGTGTACAGTAAACCAACACTTATTAGATCTTACACTTTAACTTTTTATTATATTCACTTTATCACCTATCCATCGCCATCTCATTTTTGATGTATTTCACTGTAAGCCACAGACATCAGTATACTTCACTCCTAAACATCTCATTAATAAGAGTTCAGTTTTCCTTTGTTCTTTCTTTCAAGGTTAAGATTTACATTAAATGAAATATATAGGGATCCCTGGGTGGCGCAGCGGTTTGGCGCCTGCCTTTGGCCCAGGGCGCGATCCTGGAGACCCGGGATCGAATCCCACATTGGGCTCCCAGTGGAAGGAGCCTGCTTCTCCCTCTGCCTATGTCTCTGCCTCTCTCTCTCTCTCTCTCTCTCTCTTTCTCTGTGACTATCATAAATAAATTTAAAAAATTTTTTTAAAAATAAATGAAATATATAAATCTGAATAAAAACAACCCAATTTTTGATTCAAGGGTACACAATAACCTGTATTAAGCAACAGTCTTAAAGGTATGAAACACTTTTCTAGGAAGTAAATTAGAAAATCGCAGCATTTCAGAGTCAGAAAAAACTTTTAATCCTACTTGACCACTAACAAGTTCTGTGGCTTAGCCCCACCTCAGTTTCCTCATTGTACAAGAAGGTTAAAAACACCTAATTTACAGGCTTACTAATGAGAGGATGAATGTTATGTTTACAAAAGCACTTTGATCTATATGCTAATGTAACTGAGTGTACTTCTAAATTACACAAATTTGAAATTTATTTCATTCTAAAGAATAAGAAAAACTACATTGTGGTCAAAAGCAATATGAATATAAAACCTTGTAAACTGGAGTATACAAAATGAAGAAAAGGCTCTAGGGTTAATGCACATTAAAATATTACCCTTCTAACTTTTCTAGTAAAATATTTTAAGGGTCCTTCCAATACTTATTCCTCTTGAACACGTTCAGTATGCACACCTCATGGAGCCTAGTTGCAGTAACACTAGCTTTATCCAGTAATAGAGGTAAAGAACTCTTTTAATAAGTGCATTTTCCAAACTGAAGCATACTCCCTTCAAGAGCCAAACATTTTAACATTTTCTGGTTAGAAATCTTTCTGAAATAAATTACACCCTTTCTGAAATGGAAAAGAAGGAGAAATTGAATAAAATTTCACCTTTAGCAAAATAAATAAATAAATAACCAACCAACCTTTGGCAGATGGTCTATACCCATAATGTATAGTATTTAACTTGTGCTTTGCCATGTGCTGGTACCCTAAGGGGCTCCTAAGGGTGTGGGTCTCTTGTCCCCCAGTCCTAAATGATCAAGACCACTGAGTTTCTTGGATATACTTTTCATGGTCTTCCTCTCACTGGGGCAGCTAGCTTCCCAGATGGTCCCCAGTGATCCTACCCCCTGTATCTCCTACCCTTGTGTATCCCCTCCCATACTGTACCAGGTAGGACTGTGTAACCAACAGTATATGGCAAAAGTGGTGGTATGTCACTTCTAAGATGGGGATATAGAAGGCAGTATGGACCTGATAAAGGTGCAAATCATGTCTACAATGGTAATCATTACAATATATCGATGAACCAAATCAACACGTATATCTTAAATTTACACAATTTTATGTCAAATATATTTCTATAAAAAAATACATTTTTTTTAAAGGCAAAAAATGAAGAGTGTGGCTTCTGGCCCTCAAACCACTTGCTCTGGGGGAAGCCATGTCCCAAGCAGCCACATGGAGAAGTACTGTGGCAAGAAACTGAAGCCTCCTGTTCACAGTTCCATGAGTGAGCTTGGAGCAGATCTTCCAATCCCAGTCAAGACTGCAGAAACCGCAGCCCCTGACAGAGACCTGAGGAGGGACTCTGAGCCACCCAGCTAGGCTGCTTTCTGACCCTCAGAAGCCATATGCGATAATAAGTGTTCATTGTCTTAAGCTGCTAAGTTTTGGGGTAATTTGTTACCACAGCAGTAGATAACTAACATACTATCTGTTGTCATAGCCTGTTGCTAGAAGACCAGACAGTCCTACTTAATTAGGGCCACCTTAAGATTTCTATGAACTAAAACAGAGAGAAATATGTAAATTATATTAAATGCATTAGAACTTCATCTAAAACAGTCCTTATGGTCAGGAAGGCTTTTAAATTTCTCATATTTGCAATAATTAGGGTTACTTCTTTTAGTTCTTAGTTTTTAGGAATTAAGGCAAAGATCTGAGATTTTATATCAAAGTAACAACATATAAGCAGGTTTTACATGAGCAGCAGGGGGGGCCTTATTATTAGATGGAAGCTTTATGACATCTCTTGGCTGCTCAGAGGCCTTGGCTGCCTTCTTCCTTCTTTGCTGCCAGTGGTATACAATAACCTCTGAACACTTTGGATAAGCAATGTGTCATAAAACTAGTAAAATTAAAATGTGCTTCTTTATCTACTTCTAAAGAGCTTCTTACATTGTTTTAAACATGAGATATGGTACATTCCCAGTGACCGAGAGCATGCCAAGAATATACTCACCCACTGGTGATTTGGAAGAAATATACAGCATATTCTCCTCATGGGTTTGTTTTACAAAATAATATTTTTAACTCTATACTACTTTTCTGGAAATAACAATCCTAATAAAGGCTTTGAAAACTTTGAGTCAGGGATCCCTGGGTGGCGCAGCGGTTTGGCGCCTGCCTTTGGCCCAGGGCGCGATCCTGGAGACCCGGGATCGAGTCCCACGTCGGGCTCCTGGTGCATGGAGCCTGCTTCTCCCTCTGCCTGTGTCTCTGCCTCTCTCTCTCATTCTGTGTGACTATCATAAATAATAAAATAAAAAAAAAAAAAGAAAACCTTTAAAAAAAAAAAAAAAAAAAAAAAAAAAAGAAAACTTTGAGTCATTTAACTATATCCTCTAAGAAATAACAGGGAAAAGCCAATACTTACCTAAAAATAATATTATAAGATAAATCTGAAGAAAAAAGGAAAATCTAACTTTGATTTTCACCGGATATGGCAATGTGAAACTGAACCTTCCTGTTTCGTTGAATACTGGAATTGACTGGATCACTGAGACAGCTGAAAGCAGAAACAAGAACTTGTCAGAAGCAAATGAAATACAGTACCATCTAGTGAGAGAAGCGTCTAACCCCCCCACCCCACCCCAGTTTCGGTTCCGGGTGTGCTGAAAATGCTTCCTCCCTCTTGGTACCTGTTTCATTTCTCTCCTTAATTTTTACAAAAGATGAGCCTCCAAGCTGACAATATGAAGGAGGAACATCCATTTTGTTTGTTTGGTTTTTTTTTTGGAACATCCATTTTGATAGCACTGAGCTTATGGTTTTTTTTTTGTTTTTGTTTTTGTTTTTTTGTTTTTTTTAGCTTATGGTTTTCTATTCTATAAAATGGGAGAGAAAAATCCCAACCTGCCTCACTCACTAGGTGTTTGTTAGAATAAAATGAAGTCATTGTGAGAACCTGCTTTGGAAAACTCTAAATACCATATAAATAGGAAGCATGCAATACATGAACACCCAGCTTCCAAGCCTTACAAAAATGGCTATTTCCCTGGAATAGTCCGGGTACCAGGAGTTTTATGGAAGGAAGCCACAAGAAAGAAATTCTTAAAAAGTCTAACACCCATATATCCGACTAAGGATGGCAGAGGAAGGAAGAAAGCTTTGGCCTATCAGCTCAGCTATCCTTTGGAACCAAGCTTATAAAACCTAGTGCTGAACAGAAAGTACCTTCTGCCAAACATCCCAGAGGATACAAGGGGATCCACACAGTGTAACGAAGCCATGTGAGCACCTTCCAATCCATGTCAATGCAGGAAAGCATGTAGAAGGGGTACCTATTGAAAATAAGGAATTCAGATGTGAAAAGCTACTTCAGGTCCTCAATGCAACCCTAGAGCATCATTCAAGAAGACTAATTTCACAATGAGCCACACACAGCTTCTTCAGAACACAATTACAGTCCCAGGCTGTCTACTCACAAACTCCCATCACACTCTTCTCCCAATTTTCAGTGGATGTGAACTCTCTTTGATGGCAGACTAAGTTTAGGTCGTAAAGGAACCGTCTTTGGAATAGTTCAGTATATGGAATGAATGTTCAAAAGCTCTTTGCTTTTTAAGTTCTGATTTATGTTCTAAGTAGGCAAGGATGACAGACACCTTGATAATTTATCTCTGGATAAAGGAATGCCATCAAAGTATATGGGGCCCTTGGGTAGCTCAGTTGGTTAAGTGTCACTCTTGATTTTAGCTCAGGTTATGATCTCAGGGTCATGAGATTGAGTGTGGAGTCTGCTTAAGATTCTCTTCTCCCTTCTGCCCTTCTCCCACTTAAAAAAAAAAAAAAAATCAAAGTATACAAAAGACTCCTAACCTAGAAGTAGATACACTCTTTTTAAAAAAGAGATAACACAAAAAAGAAATTTTTCTTCCCAGAGTTAATATTAAGTTTCTATAATCTCTTTCACCTCTGTTTTAGTAGATTAGAGGGTATATGGGATACTATTCAGAGCACAGTTAAGACACAATCTAGGGCTGCTCCCGCCTCTTCTCCCTCTCAACTATTAACTCTGCCAAAATATCTCCAAACCCAGAGCTGAGGAGTCAGCTTGCAAAACCCTTGCTCCACCTGACCAAAAAAGAAATGGAATATGTATGGTCGGGTAGAGAAAAATACCTCTACTTTTAATTAGATATTTTCATTGTTGTTGTTAAAGATATTTCTCCTACTGACGACTGAGAATGGCAGATTCAGATAAGGGGTTGATTCAAACTTCAGTAATCTTGTAGTAAAAGATATATTTCCATCATTCCTTCTAGAAGGCTGGTCTTCACTGGTTCCATCCAACCTGCCTACTCCCTCCACATTTCTTCCCCTTTCAAAATTTTCCCATGTGGATGAGTCCTCTTTTCAATAAAACAGCAAGATCCTGAAGGGTAAGATGGGTCTTACCCTTCTCTGTATCTCTTGACTCCCTCCCTCTGCTCGCCAGTGCCCAAGCTGGTACCATCTATGATCTAATGACTGCTTTAAAAAAAAAAAAAAAAGAACAAACAAGCAAACAAACAAAAACGTGGCTCAGGCGCCTGGGTAGCTCAGTCGGTTAGGTATCTGCATTCAGCTCAGGTCATAATCCTGGGGTCCTGAGATCAAGCCCCACATCAGACTCCCTGCTCTGTGGGGAGCCTCCCTCTCCCTCTCCCTGCCGCCTCCGCCTCCTTGTGGCCCCTCTCTTCTCTCAAATAAAATCTTTAGAAACAAAACAAAACAAAACAAAAAAATGCCTCATCTTTGCAGAGCACACAGATGCAGCTACAGCTCTCCACTCATGGAACCTTAATCTCAAACCAAATGAGACTCCAAATAAAACTCCCTCCAGAAAAGAGCTGCTCCAGAAGAGGGAGAAGCATTCAAACTACCAAGCTGGCATTTCTACCCACCTGAAAACTTCAACTGCACTCCACGAATAAAACACAAAGAAAACCACAGCTTTGTTTTGCATTTCTTCCATGGTGCCAAAGATGATAAACAAAATGAAATTTCTTCCAAGAAGCTAATAAAAGAATCCACAAGAGAGGAAAAAGTTTAAATATATATTCTACAAAAACTATATAAATGCATTATCTAAAACCTAGTGCCTCTAAATTCAAGGTAAATAGAAAAAAACTGAGGGCTGCCTAGCTGGCTCAGTTGGTGGAGCAGGCAACTCCTGATCTCAGGGTTGTGAATTCAAGCCCCACATTGGGGGGGTAAAGATTACTTAAAAAATTAAAAAGTAACAAAATCTTTTTAAAAAGAAAAGAAAAAGGCTGAGCTCAGCTAGTTAAGCTTCTGCTCCAGTTTTGGAGCAAGTTAAAGTACCCAAAGCAGTCTTTCTGAATAGACTGTGTATATGTGTGTAAATATATCATCACAAATAGCGTATTTTCAAAAATGCTCACTCACATTCAGATGCAGTTTAAAGAACGCTGCCAGAAGCCCACTTGTGTCTGCAGACCCCAAGTTTAGATCCAGAGCGTTACCAGTGTGGCAGTCACCCATAAGTAACTACTATCTCGTGTTAACCATTCCATTGCTTCCCTTTATAGGTTTACTGCTTATGTACGTAGTTCTAAATAGTATCCTGTTTCACTCTTGCCTGTTTTTTTTTTCACTCTGTTTTTAAACTTTCTGAAATAGATCGTATTATTCTGTGACTTGTTTCTTACTGTTGTTATGCTTCCAAGACGCATCCATGTTGGCACATGTGGTGCTGTCCAACACCAGGAGGCTCACACTGCATTCTACATGAATGGCACTCCCTGGAGCCATGTGCTGTAATGATACTGAACCCCTCCCTTCCACTCCACCCTAGAAATTCTAGCTTCATGCTTACCTGCACTACCCTTTGATCTACAAAAAATACTATTCCACATGAGTGGGTCACTCGCTATCCTCTTTGATTTTTTTTTTTTTTTTTTTTTTTCCGAGAAGGCTTTATTGTTACGGGGGTGGAGAGGGGGTCAGTCCTTCTTGGCGGCCGCTTTCCGCATGGCCGCCAGCACGTTGCTCAGCTCCTCTCTCTTCCTCTTGGCGCGGATGTGCGTCCCGACCCGCTTCTTGATGAACTTGAGGGCGCGCTTGTCCTTGGACACCTTGAGCAGCTCCATGGCCCGCCGCTCGTACGGGGCGAAGCCGCACACCTCCCGGATCATGTCCCGCACGAACTTGGTGTGCTTGGTGAGGCGCCCGCGGCGGCGGCTGTGCCTCGGCTTGCTCACGTTCTTCGTCACCTTGTGGCCCTTGTTGAGGCCCACGGCCATGGGGTAGCGCAGAGCCATGGCTGCAGACGGCTGCTGCTGCTCGATGCTCCGGCGGCGGAAGGGCTCCTCTTTGATTTTTTAGACTGAACAAAACAGCCTCTCTATCCAAGAATAGAGAACCCAGGAGTAACAAGGGTTACAATCACCCTTTACCCATGCCATTGATACTATCAGAATGCCAGAGCTGGTGTACCAGAGAAGGGTAGAACTATAGAAAGAATACTCCAGAAGAGACTAACCAGCAATCACCTGTTTCCCCTGGAGTCTGGGTAGGTGGGATTTAATAGTATATAATCTCATGGTGAGGAAATAGGGCAAGGAAGTTAAAAGACTTTGATGCCCTGTTCCTGATAGCAATCTTCCAAATACTAGAAAATACAGATGTATTGAGGGAGGGGGGAATCCCCGTATCAGTTAAAAGAGTCCCCTGCATATATGGAAGAAAGCCCAAAGTGCAAAGAGCTCCTATGATTGCACTGCCTTCACCTACTCAAGCTGGGAGCAGACCAAGCACATCTCTACCTGAAAAGATTGTGGGTAAATTTTTCTGCTTCGGCTTGAGAATCAGGTTCCCCTCATCTTAAAGCCTTTTTATAACTTTGTGATTTTAAGATGTTATAAACAAACCAACCAGACTGGAAATGGTAAAAGTCTACTTTGGAAAATATCCCTGGGCTTTGAGTTTTCCTCCTTGTTCAAAGAAAACCATGCTACTCCTGTGCAGAGAGAGATTTTTATGCATTGAGACTTCCCAGCTAATTACAGCATACCTACTAAATACTGAAATCTGAGGTCAACTGTTCAGTACCTGGATAAGACAAGGGATCACTGGTGACTTAGTGACGCCAATTGCTGCATTGATAGTTTCCACAACTGACAGCATCTGGCAGAAATACATCATGTCGGCCAAGGTATGGAATGTGTCATAGAAGGACTCTATGGGACAAAGATACATTAAGGGTAAGTCACGATGGGATGAGAACTGGGTGTTATACTATGTGTTGGCAAGTTGAATTTAAATAAAATATTTTTTTAAAATGGTAAGTAAAAAAAAAAAAACAATAAATAAATAAATAAATAAATAAATAAATAAATAAATAATAAATGGTAAGTCAAGTAGCAAATTCCAACAGAATTATTTCTCAAACTAGATACCTCCTTGCATGAAAGGAATTTAAAGATAAGTATAATAAACAGCCAGTCAGACTCAAGTTTACTCTCCAAACTAAGCCGGTGGGAACAAGCCTGTGAGGTCATGAATAGTGAACTCTACTGGTTATTAGAAAGTTAAGACATAAACCCTGTATGTCCTTCTCATTTTAAAAGGCAAGGAAAGGGCAGCCCCGGTGGCTCAGTGGTTTAGCGCTGCCTTCAGCCCAGAGCGTGATCCTGGAGACCTGGGATCAAGTCCCGCGTTGGGCTCTCTGCATAGAGCCTGCTTCTCCCTCTGCCTGTGTCTCTGCCTCTCTATCTTTCTCTGTGTGTGTCTCTCATGAATAAATAAATAAGATCTTAAAAATAAATAAATAAATAAATAAATAAATAAATAAATAAATAAATAAATAAATAAGGCAAGGAAAAGAAAGCATACCTAGACTTCCTTCAGTTACTATAAGCTGAAAAGCCAATGTAACAGGCCAGAGATTAGTCTGGTCAGATCCATTATCTCACTGGATTCAAAATTAAACTATAGCACATATACTGAATGCAATCTAGCCTATGAAAATCTCAAAATTGTACAATCATAAATAAACGCAGAGGTCCAAAAGTAGTGAATAAAACTTTCAAAAACTTTATTTGCATTTTACATATTTCATCTTCATAACTCTTATTTTAAGAATCTATCCTAACTACAAAATCTAAAATGAAAAAAAAAAAATCCACAAAAGTTTCTCAGGAACAAAGTCTTTCTCCGAAGCATTTTTCCCAAGTATATTAAAGTAGTGTTTGTCTGAATACCTAAGCATATAGAAAGTTGGAGTAAGCTACAGTAGAGCTACTTCATGGAATATTATGTAATGATTTTAAATGACAATTATTGCTTATAGGACCATCAGCGATTGCAGTATCAGCTGTGAGCGGACCATAAAATAAAATCCTTTACTTTTCATACTGATCCTTACTTGGCACCCTGCACTCCTACATTCTTCTTGCCATGTTTCTCAACCAAGGTACTATTGATATTGCAGGCAGGACAATCTTTTGGCCTGCCTTCACTGTGCACAAGGTTTAGGATTCTTGGCTCCCTGCCTTTGAAATACAAGGACTGGCCCCAAGGACCTGGCACAGTTAGGCCAGTGACCAACAAAGATGACATTTGTAGGAGTCCCCAGAAGGTCTGGTTTAAACATCAGTTAAATAAAAAAAGGCCCTTGCAAAAAAAACTTAAAGAAGCCCTCTAAATATTTTTGCAAAAATGATCCGCTCTACTATCCTGCTACAAAGTCAAATGCGAAATGAAGAACAGTTTATAGTGTTATCATGTAATTTTGACAGAAAAATTCCAACAGTAATTTAGTTCAGAATTAGATGAATTCTTTTCTTTGGAAGAATTAATGCAAAATTACAATGGCAACTTAGATTTTGCTACATATAAGATAAAAACAACTTATTCTCTCAATTTTAAATCTCCCATTTCAAGATAAAATCCCAACCAAATCTTTTTGCCAACATTTCCAATGAAATTCTGGTGTCCATTTTAAGGGGATTCACATTAAGGTGGCATTTCTCCTCAGATAAATCTTTGAAAAATGAAGACCTCCCGTTGGGAAAACACAAAGCTGTGACTTAAGATTTGGCATGTGCTGAACAAAAATTAGATCTCGTGGATTTGCTAGGAGTTTACATCCCTGTCTCAATTCAGGCATAGATGCTGAATTTCTCAAATGATATTACAAAGAATTTTATTAACAAAATGCTTATAATTTTGCTTTTAAAACCAGACAGAAAATTGTGGACACCCACAGGATTATAATTTCTAAATCTTAAAAAAAGAAAGAAAGAAAGAAAGAAAGAAAGAAAGAAAGAAAGAAAGAAAGAAAGAAAGAAAGGAAGGAAAAAAAAAAAAAAGGTCAGTCGGGGTGGCTCAGTGGTTTAGCACTGCCTTCGGCCCAGGGCGTGATCCTGGAGACCCAGGAACGAGTCCCACATCGGGCTTCCTGCATGGAGCCTCCTTCTCCCTCTGCCAGTGTCTCTACCTCTGTGTGTCTCTCATGAATAAATAAATAAAATCTTTAAATAATAATAATAATAATTTCTAACTGCAGGAGAAAAACTAAAAGGAAATGTATGGCTATATTAATAGTGATGGACAATGGCTTATTCACCTCCTCTTCTCTCCCCCCACACCTCTACCCTGGTTTCCCCCTCTTTCCAAATTAGCTTAAATCACCATGTTTACTTTTATAATTTGAAAACAAAAAAAACTGTTTTAAGCAGTAAAAGGCACTCATATGTTAATGGGAGGAGAGATACTATAATGTGGTAGTATAATACAGTATACTCTGTCTGGACAGTATACATGGAAATCCTTAAAAACGATCTCCCATTTAATCTCACAATTCCGTATCAGGAATTGTTCCTTGCTCCTGAGAAAGCTTTGTGGTTTGGAAGGATATACACCAAGGTGCCAAGGATCTGTTGCTCTCATAGATGGGATTACAGTAGAGTGTTTATTTAAGTCTTTGTTTTCTGATTTTTCTGTAATTAACACATTGTATTTTTAACACATTTTTATAATTGGAAAAATTTTTTTAATTTAATTTTTTTTAAATCTTATCTATCTACTCATGAGAGACATAGAGGGAGAGGCAGAGACATAGGTAGAGGGAAAGGGAGGTACAAGCTCCCTGCGGGGAGCCCGATGCAGGACTGGATCCTAGGACCCTGGGATTATGCCTTGAGCCAAAGGCAGATGCTCAACCACTGAGTCACTCAGGTGCCCCAGGAACAATCTTTTTAAAAAATAAAATTAGAGCACCTGGGCTCTTAGTATTCCTTAAGAGAGACCTAGGTAAGCTCAAACAAGAGTTTCTAGACAAGCCCAAGAGTTTGCTAGTGTTTCCTCAGCAAGAAGTTTAGCAAGTACATGTTTACATGAAAAACGAAGTCTATGTGTGGAATTTGCCATTTACCAACATTCTTCATTCAAAAGGGAAAAACCGCAAATGGCAAACTGGGTGCAAGGCACCAGGTGCCAGGTCCTTATCACGTCTTCTGAGGACTGGTAAGGGAAGAATTAAACCAGCAGCTCCATTCCAGAAGGTGGTTAGTAAGGGGCTGAGAGCCAAAATAGAAATTACAAATCCAAGCAGCTTAAACACATGACCCAGATAACTTAGGAGCTTTGGGACCAGATCACCTAATGGCCTGCAGGCTTGCACAGGTACACGGAGAATCAATCTAACAACGTTAAATGAAATTATCAGGTATTTGCGTGTCCCTATTCATTCCATGGAACTTGTGATCAATCCACAGTAATAACCACAGGTTGGAGACTTGCCTTCTTTTTTTAAGTAACTCATCTGTAGACACTAGGCATTTGAGAAATTCTTCACTAGCCTGCCACTGGTGCTTTGCAGAATTCTAGGCCATTAAGAAGGCTGGACAAATGACATGTACTTCTTTGAAATGACTCTAGAGCTACCGACAATTCATTTACTACAAACCTCAGATGGGAAAATTTAGGACTAAAGATAAAATAGACTATAGGACATTTTTCTTTTTTTAAACAGAGCTTGTATTTTCAATTATACTTCTATTTTTCCTATTTTTTGTACAAAATATGGACAAATTTCTAAATTACCCACATCCAAACCATTTTCGAATGATGAATTCTTTTCACTCTTTTTACATGTATTGGTTCAGTTTTTTTCCCCCTTTTTACATGATATGATGAAACTGGAAGAACAAATTGATATATTATTTTTTAGCCTATCGTATTTCTCCATGTTATATGAACTCTTTTAAGTACTTTATATCTGCTTCACAACATTCCACTGAGCGAATATGCTAAAGTAATCCCTCACTGATGGGCATCTAGGTAGTTTCTAACTTGTCACTAATATAAGTAATGCCAAAATGTGTATCTTTTTTAAAAAGCTTTTTTTGTACTTTCAGTTACTATAGTTTCAAGGATATCAGTGACGAACAGTTCAGTGTCTTGAAACGCTTTGCCAAATGATTTTCCAAAAGAGTCATTGTACTTCTATACCCTCCCAGTGACCACCAGTGTGTCTATTTTAGCATATGTCTTCTTGAATTAGGTACTGCTTTAACTTTGGAAAACTGACAAATAAAAATCTGATTTTTATTTCCTTCATCATTATGGAGTTAAACATTTTTCTGTATATTAAAGAGTTTCCCTCTTGGGAACTGCCTGCACCTGACTTCTGTTTATCTATTCCATAGAGTCTATACATTTTAAAATCAATTTGTAACAAATTCTTTACAGGTAATCAACCTTTGTTAGTATTTGTTGCAATTTTCTACCAACCCTCATCCCCATGCTACTAACCTCAATATACTTTTAATCTTTAGTGTTATCTTAGCTGAGGTATTTTTAGATATATAGGAATTTAGATATTTTATGTAGTCAAATATATTAACCTATTTTCTTTATGATTTCTCCTTTTTTACCTTAGAAAGTAATAACCTTCTGGGACACCTGGGTGGCTCAGTGGTTGAGCATCTGCCTTCAGCTCAGGGCGTGATCCTGAAGTCCAGGATCGAGTCCCACATTGAGCTCCCTGTGGGGAGCCTGCTTCTCCCTCTGCCTGTGTCTCTCTCATGAATAAATAAACAAAATCTTAAGAAAAAAAAAAAGCCCTAACCTTCCACATGAGATTTTTTTTTTTAAGATTTTATTTATTTATTCATGAGAGAGACACAGGCAGAGGGAAAAGCAGGCCCCATGCAGGGAGCCTGCCGTGGGACTCGATCCTGGGTCTCCAGGATCACGCCCTGGGCCGAAGGTGGCGCTAAACCACTGACCCACCTGGGCTGCCCCCACGTGAAATTTTTATAAACATTTACTCAATTTTCTGTTATGTTTTAAATCTTTGACATAGACTCTTAAATCCTTTAGGGGAATTTATTTTTGTATACAATGTGAGGAAAAGAGATTCCTTGCCTCCCTCATGCACCCAAACCTAACCAATTTTCCCTGGAAACATTATTAGAATTCCCATCCAAGGGCATGTACATATATATTTATTTACATTTTATATATATATATAAAATGTAAGAGCTATTTTTGGACTACCTTATCTGCTCTATTGGCTATTCTCTTCTTATACTCATGCTACATCATTTTAATTATCATTCTTTCATATCAGACAGAAAGTGCTCTCCCATTACCCTTTCCTACTCCAAATTTTATTACCTATTTGTTGTTCACAATACAATTTCAGAATACTTTAGATCATATTCTCAAAAATTTTCCATTGTCATTTACTTTTTGCCCGAATTTCTGTTAAATGTACAAGTTAATAGCCCCTTTGAAAATCTACTTAGGTTCCCAAAGGGTGAGATCCCTTTTGTTTTTGTTTTTTGAGATCCCTTTTGGACTTGCATTAACTATGGCACCAGAAATACCATATAAGTTTATTTGGTTATAAATGAACTGCCATGTCATGAACAGAGAAAGGAACGCAGCCCAAGAGGCACCTCTGGCCAGCTGTATGAATGGGAACAATCTCTTAGCCTGTTCCCTCACTTGCTAAGTGGACACAATCTCCAGTCAGCTTGTTTCACAAGGCCAGGGGAAATCAGAGACATGGAAGTTGCCACACAAACGTGGGGGGGTTATTATTAATATCAAAGGTAGAGTATTATTGATACCTTCGGTGGATAGTAGGCTAAACTACTGGCAAAAGGAAAGTTTGTGTTGAAATTTTGTGCTTGCCTTTTCCCAAAATAAAGAACCGCACGGTCATGTTGACAAAGATCCAGGAGAATCCCAAGAACTGCACGAGGTTATACATGAACAGGTATCCTTTCTTCAAGCTTGTAAGAGCTGAAAAGCAAAGCAAGATAAGAAACTATTACAAGCAACGCTGCAGCAGGAGCAGGGAGTGGGGAGGACCTGGATGACTGCACCCCTCTCTTGCACTGGGTGCCCTGAGCTCCCAAACAGACACCTGGCCCAGATCTGCACCAGCCTGCACTCCTAAGCCCAAAGAGAAAGTCGTAAAGTCATAGACACTGCATTCCAAGATACATCTTTACCAGTCCTTCTCCTCATGGCTTGAATGTACAGACATAATAAATCCAAGGAGAAAAAAGAAAAACTACTTCTGGCAAAGCATGGCCATCTTAGGAAGCAATGAAGAAGGCAAATAAAGCTACTTAGCTCCTGCTCTTGTCATTTTCTTATAAACTAGTTTAATTGTTCTTGCAATTTTTTTTAAGTTCACATATGGCAAACTAACTCAGAGAAACAGAAATAGAACGAAAAAAGAATTCTGGCATTTGATCACATACGTATCCAACCAAGCATCAACTGCACACCTACAACGTGAGAGGTCCTGAGGGGTACCCCTGGGATTCAAAGATGTTAAGACTTGATGTCCCTTCAAAGAACTTACAATCTGAAAGCCATAATACAAGATAGAGAGGAACAGGTAGCTGTCTTGTGAAACCCTTAAGGTGAGAAAATGATATTGAGCCAGGTAAGTGGGAAGCAGGCAGGTCAGTGGAGAGGCAAGGTGCCTGCTCTGGGCTTTGGAAGACGGGGAGAATGAGGATATGACCAAAGAAGGCAAAGTACAGATTGAGAGGCAGGAGGATAAGGAACGTAAATTTGATCTGCAGCCTAAGGCTCATGAAGACACAGCCAATTACAGAGTTAAGGAAGAAGTAAGGAGCTTAGAATCATAGTGGAGTCTAGGGAGTGGGGCAAAGGAAAGGATAATTCTCAAGAGAAGAGCTATGGAGTTCAGAACTTGCTGCTACGTATTTATTCCTAGGCTACAGATGTTTTGCACATTACCCCTCGGCTGATACTCAAATGACCACACTCAATAGTGTGGTCCATCAAAAGCAATCTAGTAATAAGGACCCAAAAGAGTCAGACTTTTCACAGCACTTAACTAAGGCTTTTTCTTCGCCATCCTAAAGAACTTATTTTATCAGGAAACATTATGAATTTAGATAAAACAGTGAAAGCATTTATCTAACATTCCAAAAATCCGTATGTAACCATTTTTACATGGTTTTAAAGTGTATCCTTCTAAATTCCCCCAAAATTAACTTAAATTTCAAATAATTTTCAAGCTCAAAATTAATTTTAATCTCAAATCTTTATTCTTTACCTCCACTAATCTTCTGCCCTCCTTTGTTTTTCTAAAGGAATATTCCTCTAAATGAGTAGTTATTCAAATCTTTTTCTAAAGCAATGAAGCCTCCTTTTCAAAACAAACTTTATTCAGAACTCAACACATAAAACACAAAAGCAGAGCTATTCTGGTTGAAGTGGACCTGCTTGCTTGGCTATCCCTCCTAAGCATCCTGGGAACCCCTGGGGACCAGGGGACATAGTTTGAAAACAACTACTCTAAAACTTTCCCCTTCCTTACCTACAGCATGCCACAGAAGCGCCACTAAAACTTGAAAACATATGGACAAAAGAAAGCCTTTTATTTTGCTTTTCAGCATGCATTTTATACAGACTTTCATGGTCCTCTCCCTGGAATGGAAGCTCTTAGGGAACAGGTGCTCTGACGAATTCATTGGCTCCACCCCTCAAGGGCTGGCGACCAAGCTTCCACACAGCAGGAGGTTAATGGAGAGCTGCTGCATTTACTCTGTATCACCCAGAGGACAATACACGTGCAGAGCTTCTTGCTTATAAGTGATCGGACATAGAGAAACAGGAATAGACTTTTTGAGGTTGACAACCCCACTTATCTGTGAAACAGCCCTTAAGATCCCAACTGGGAGAAAAACACCAAGCTGGAAAAAGTGTGGCCTTGGACCTACATGGTATTTCCATGTTATGCAGCACGTGCAGGGCCTGCTGCCACCTGACATTAGGCCAGTCCGGGAGACTATGGTTCTTCCATTCTGTTCTACCAGCTTTGGTGCACTCAAATGATGTTAGACTCCAAACAGAAGGGAAACAGTAAAAGGGAGGCTTCTGATGTGGGTATGCACAGCATAAGCACTGGACATTAAGGATTCCTCATACCTCGTGTACACAGTATTAGCTCTCCTACCACATCGCACCCATCCATACCCCCATCTCTATCATTAGTTAACTGGTAACAACCACAGTACCAGGAGCAACTTACTTTCAGGGGAGCCTTGGCTTTCAATTCTTAGTTTATTTAGGCGTTCTTCTTCCTAGAATTTGGACAGAAGTTTTCCAAGAATACAGGTTAGAATTCTCAGATGCCTGCAAAAGTTCACATGCTAGATAGGTGACCTGACACCCTCAAAGCCACCTCCTCCAATCGTGTTCATGCTTCATTGGGGCAAACGTCCTAGTTCATGGTGCCAAAAAGCCTGACTTACTGGGTAACAGTAGCACCACAGCATGCCCATCCACCAATGCTCACAGAATTAAACCAATCAGCTGGCTTCCAAACTACAAAGTGGATAGTCTTAGAATATTGGAGCCGGAAAAGACCCCTAGAAGGTTTGTCACAGTCATAGAAACAAAATAGAGTTTTAAGGCAGGAAATAGATCACTGTTTTAAAAATTCTAGATTTTTAGTATTTTTCTGGAAGCTAAAATCATGTCTCAACATCAGTAAGAACTCACATTAAGTCAATATAGATACAGATGGATACATATAGAAATATTTATAGGTATAGGCATGTTTATATATAGGTATGTTTATATATACGTATAAAAATATTTGTATTTATAGGTATAGGTATATGTATGGGCCAGTCTGCGCACATACAGTTCTTCATGCTGTCACCTGAGAGGGTCTAGAAACAACAGCTAGAGCCCAGATCTTGGCTTCCACTACTATTCACCAATAAAAAGAACAGCTTCTTGAAGAAAGACTGACTCTACGGCTGGAGCTGGAAATACACAAGATAAGCCTGGGGCAGCTTATAGTGCTGGAAATTAAGGATGTCCCCCCAAAAAGCCCCCCCCCTCAAAAGCCTCACAATGACAGAACTTTGTCAAAAAGGACACAAGAACTAATGGGAACAGCGTCCAACGGCCAAAGCTAGAACATCATGAACAACAAAATAAATAACACAGTATGGGGTTATAACTCAAACTATAAAATAAATATTCATCAGTCCATATGGATATAAATAAATGATTGAATAAATAAATGGAAGAGAACACAATAGGAATGAAACCTCTGTGGTCCTCCTCCCCAAAATCCCATTACCCTCTCTGATCATGAGAAACATATTCAACAATCCGAATTGAGGGACAGTCTACAACATATTACCAGTACTTCTATAAAACCATGTTTCCAGGTCTTTAACTGAATTTGTAACTTTGTCCCTATTCTATCAGACCCAGATAGGTATCTGAGGTGGCCCAAATAACATCCCAATCACTTGGGTTCCTTGGGGTCCTTACTGACCTTGGCTCTGAGCTCCATTTCTGCATCAGACTCATCCAGCCAGCGATCAAAGTCAGGAGCCAAAAAGAGTGGGCGCTTCTCCTGCTTAGTGAGTCTCTCCCACCACTGACTCACCTTCTTCTGTACTGTGATGTTTACCTGCCTCTGGGTCAGTTTGTAAACCGGCTAGAAGAGAACATGAGAATGTGAGAATGCCCCCACCTTCCCATCCCCGACTCCTCCCCCTGCAACTGCACCAAGCCCATGTGGCTCCACGGAAGGAAGGCTCCCCTCATCCTTCTCTGTTCTCAGAACATCCAGACCAAGGGCTGGTACAGCAAAGAACTGGTAAGAATGGCACTGTCTCTGATTCCTCCAGGGAATGACACAGAAGGAAATCAGAGTAAAAAAGGCATACAGTTGTGTTATCTTAGAGGAAACTAGATGCACCTTCGGCCAGGTCTGCATCACGCAAGGCACGACATCCACTCACTCTTCCAGGGCATCTTGCTTGTCAAATGTCCTTCCCATGAAGATGACTGAATTCAAATGGCCAACAGTCCCTGGCATTGGTGAACCCTTTAGGAAAGTCTATTCAAGGCTGGAACCTGCTGGATCATTACAACTCTAACACAAGGGTCAGCCTAGGGTGTCCTCCCAACTAAACTCAAATTCTTGGAGGCTAAAGAATTTATAGTTCTATAAAATATATATATATGTTATATATAAAGGGCTTCTTCCTTTGCCTCTAAAGCAAGACCCACGACAGGTTCTCGACCCCTTAAACCACTGCTGACAGGTTCTCGACCCCTTAAACCACTGCTGACTATTAAACCATGAAAAAAAAAATCTCCTGCACGGAGAGATCAATCTGCTCGAGCCCCCAAAGATAAGAGTGTAATTCGAGAAACTGAAATACACCTTCTATTAGATTCTCTCTCCTCCTGTCAGAGAAGTTTCCCTTGAGCTCTGAGAGAAAGGAAACGTCATTTGTACTTCCCTCATTCCTTTCTGCTTCCACCTGTTCTGATTTCCACTGCCCCTGAAGCAAAGGCACATGAAAGTAAGCCCCCAGCGTGGGCTTTACCTACCTCACATAACTCTGCTCCAAGAGTGTCATACTCCTCTGTCTTCACTAACATCAGAAAATATCAGAGCTAGAAAGGACCCTAAGGATTTCTTAGTCCAATCCTTCATTTAAAACATGAGGGAACTAACTCACAAAAGTGAAGAGACTTGTTCACACTGCTAAGAAAGGCAGAGCCCAGATTCACCTGAGGCTTTCTGGCTTTCCCACTCCTCTGCAGCTAAAATCGAGACTCAGTCCCCAACCAAAGGACTATATTCTCCTTTGATTTTTATCCTTTTTCCCCCAAAACCCCAACCCCCCATATTTCACTGAACTCCTAGTATTTATTTCCTAAAATGGAAAGGGAAATGAGAAAAGAAAGAACATACCTCTGGTTTCACAAGGTCTAAGAACTCCAAGTGAAATTCATACACGTTGTCTCCTTTGGCGCCGTGTCCCTGAGCTATGAAGAAAGAAATGTGGGTTACTGAGAACTGGCAAAGTGAGGCCATCCAAAAGCTTGGTACAGTTCTTTCAGAAGTATACAAACAGTAATGGGTCCTGCCAAAATGAGTAGGGACTTGTGAGCAGAGCCACTCAACAGCTAGATAAGCTGGATCCCGGACAAAAGTTCACCTCCATATGTCCTTCTGATGATCAGTTCCAGAACATTTACTTAATCTCCCAATGTGGCTTTGATAATATCCAGTACAAATAATAGGCAGGAAAAAGAATACCAAAAGCAAAGCCAAAGAGGTCACAGAGCTATAAATTTAACTTTCACGTTTACTTTGGCATTGACTCCAGGGCACAGAAATAGCAGGTGGGTATGTTATCTTGACTACCACTAAGGAAAGCTGCAAAGCACACGGAAATGCTGGACTGCCTCAAAGAAAGCTCTGAATCTAACACCTCCCAACCAAGTTTAGAAAATGAAGAAGCTGACTTCCCCTTTAACACATTTCAAATGGAACAAAAAAGAGAAATATGATTTCCTCAGCTCATTCCTGAGAGGACAAATGGATCTGGGAGGAAAGATCCTGAGTGGACCATTACACCATCCTCGTGCCTTGACATGGCATGGCTCCTTTCCCCAAAACAAACAGGTGTCATGCCTAGGTGTCAATGGCTGCTGGGCATCTCTTCTCCTCTCTCTGACTTGTCCATCATTTGGTTTCTTTCCTCATCCGGCCACATGTGGTATAACTTGCCTAATATTTGCTACAAGTGCCTATTGTTCTGAGACCAGAAATTCCTTAAGGTTGAGCAGTCCATAATCTCCGAGTGGCAAGATACGCTTTCATCCCTTAACTTCCTTTCAAATGTATTAACACCCAAAAGCTCTGAGCCACTGCCACAACTGCTCTCACCTTGAAAAGCTGATATAAAAGCCAGGCTGTGCGTTCATGCAAGCATATTAAGGTAGATGGGATTTCGAGTAAAGCAGAAACTCGTCAATGTCCCATAACCCCAGTCACTGACTAAAGACATTCCAAGGAAATAGAACAAAGAGAGAGGAAGGGGAATCCCACCCCACTGGGTGACAAGGAATCTGACCTACCCTCTCAGGCACAGCAGCATACCTGCTGACTACAGAGGAGAACAGAGCCAGAGGCAGATTCACAGAATCAAAGACTGTCAGAGCTACAAAGGCTTGAGGTATCATCTAGAAAGCCGTGCTTCTTAAACTGGCCTGTTTAAGTGTAGCATCAGAGAGCTGAAGAGTCTCATTAAGAAAATTTCTAATTTTTGTTTCAATTATAATAATCTTTAAAAAAAGATGTGTATTCTGGATCATCTAAATGGCTACCTTATAATCAAGTCCTGACACACAAGCTTAGCCAAGTATCACTTAAAGAGACCATATTTAATTCTTAACATGTTTTCTCAAACTAGGGTCCATGGCCCAGGAGGATCATTAGGACATATTCTCAGATGTCCCTAGGTCCTAAAGTTTGAGAAACACAGATTATAACCAAATATCTTCATGTTAAGTCCAGAGAAGTCCGTAAGTTGTCCAAGGATAGCAGAATTAGAGCTAGAAGACAGATCTCCTGATTTCCAGCCCGGGATTCCTTCTCACTCTATCTACTGCTTCTCCAAGAGGAAAGCAGGACTTCTAAGTCCTAATAAGTTTTTTGACTTTTCTAATCATGTATTTCAAAACAATCTAGTTTACCCCAAGAGCAGCAGAGAGGTGAGCATCAATAGAAAGGGAATAAAACAAATAGATAAAAAGAAAAAGAAAAAGTAACTACCACCATGCCTCTTTAGCTGTGTAGAGAGCTGGGAGCATTTGCCCGGATACTGACCTTTGAAATGCAGCACATTTTCAGTGATGCTGATGGCAGGATTCTGTGAAAAGAGACCAAGGATGCGAGAAGGGCATTTTAATAGGAGAAAAATGAAATTAAAACCGGGGTTAACTCCCCTCCATCCTTCCCCCTTAGGGACTCAGCCTCCTACCTGTGCCTCCCCCAGAAAATATATTTAGTTGTTTATGCACAGCTCAGTGCAGGAGTTTTCTATGTCTGTCTGTACCCATCTGAGATTGTAGGCATCTGTAAGAATAATGCTGAACTGCTCTAACTGTGCAGAATAATCAGATACTGAGTCAGTCCATTCTGATCATGGCAAATGGTACAAGGTGCTATGGGAGGTGTTTCCGGAGAGTACACACATCTCTAAGACTCAGTCCCTGAGCTGTGGAGGCAGAAAATCTAGTGGAACAGATGATGACTCATTTCCTGTAAGAAGATCCCAAATAGTATCAAGTAACATATGCTCAAGACCAAGAGAGTAGTAAAAAGCAGTTAGTGTTACAGGTGTTAACAAGAGCAAGCACAAGAATAGGATGGCTGAGGAAAGGTTCACCAGAAGTGAAACCTATACTGCACATGAAGAATAAATTCATTCCAGTAGGTAGAGAGAAGGGTTGACAATTACAGGGGATCCATTCAAAATGGAAACATGCTGTGCGCATCCCTCCCTCAGGCTCCATCCCTCCCCTCAGGCTCTGTGCTCTTAACCCCCATCGGAACCAACACTAGAAGCGATCAAAATTCTCCAAATTGTTCACTTATATCCAGAAATTGCTACATGACTTTAATAGCATAACTTAAAGTGAAACTACTTAATTCTTTTTTTATTTTTTTATTTTTTTAAATTCTTTTTTTAATGGATGAGAAATTACTCACCTCCTACCTCCCAGCACAAATTAATAAGCAAGGAGCAGTATGTTGTTTCCAGTGCTGTAACTAATTCATTTATTTTTCTCCTGCAGGCTCAGCTCTCTGTGCTCCATCAGGCATTGAAGGAAACCAACAAGGCAGAAGGTTGGAAAGGGGGTATGCCAATGGGGAGAGGGAACGTACATGCTCTATTCACAGCCAAGAGTGTTAGGAAAAGGGAAAGAATGAAGGCTGGGGGCGGAGGGGCATTTGAGACAAGCTTCATGTTGAGAACCTCCCCAGTGGGAGTACAGATCTCAAGCTGAGATGCTCACCCAAAGGAGCTTCAAATTCTAGATGATCTCTGTGGCAGAAGGGGGAGTTAGGGAACCTCAGCAAAGAGGCTACACTTCCAGGGGCATGGTTCCTCAGTAAGGGAAACAGCGTTTTGATGTAAATATTTTCATTAGAGCTAAATAAAGGGATCCCTGGGTGGCGCAGCGGTTTAGCGCCTGCCTTTGGCCCAGGGCGTGATCCTGGAGACCCGGGATCAAATCCCACATCGGGCTCCCGGTGCATGGAGCCTGCTCCCTCTGCCTGTGTCTCTGCCTCTCTCTCTCTCTCTCTCTCTCTCTCTCTCTCTCTCTCTCTCTCTCTCTCTCACTGTGTGCCTATCATAAATAAATAAAAATTAAAAAAAAAGTTAAAGCTAAATAAAGTTCTAGAATGTCTTGGGGGTAAGTTTCCTACCCAAGTCACTTCTTGCCCATCTCAGTGTGTTTCCTATACTCTAAATCACTTGGAAGGAAAAAGGAATGAAGTTGAATCTGTATTGAAAAACTTCTGACAAACAAAAGTCCAGGACCAAATGGCTTCAAGGGTAAACTCTACCAAACATTTAAAGAAGAGCTAATATCCATCTTTCTCAAACTATTTCAAAAAATTGAAGAGGAAGGAACATTTCCAAAGCTATTCCATGAGGCCACCATTACCCTGATACCAAAACCAGACAAAGATACTACAAACACACACACACACACACACACACACACACACACAAAACAAACAAAAAAAACACCCACACACATATCAGTATCTCTGATGAACCCAGAAGCAAAAATCTTCAACAAAATATTAGCAAACTGAGGAGCTCCTGGTTGGCTCAGTCAGTTAAGCATCTGCCTTTGGCTCAGGTCATAATCTCAGCGGCCCGGGGGTCTGGGGTCCTAAGGTTCTGGGCTCAAGCCCTGCTTTGGGCTTCCTGCTCAGTAAGGAGTCTGCGTCTCCCTCTCCCTCTGCCCCTCCTGCACTTTTTCTCTCTCTCAAAAATAAAATCCTTAAATAAAATTAGTGAACTGAATTCAACAATAGATTAATAGAATCATATACCATGATCAAGTGAGACTTACTCCAGGGATGCCAAGATGGTCCAATATTAGACCAGCAAACAAATCAACATGATACACAACATTAACAAAATGAAGGATAAAGTCACATAATCATCTCAATAAAGAAGAAAAAGCATCTGACAAAATTTAATATCCAATGATAAGTACAATGATAACTACATGATAAATTTATCATTATTTATGATAAAGCCTCTCAACAAAGTCCTTGTGGGTAGAATACACCTCTACATAATAAAGTTCATAGAGGGGCAGCCCCGGTGGCACAGCGGTTTAGCGCCGCCTGCAGCCCAGGGTCCCTGGAAACCGGGGATTGAATCCCACGTCGGGCTCCCTGCATGGAGCCTGCTTCTCCCTCTGCCTGCTTCTCCCTCTGCCTGTGTCTCTGCCCGCCCCCCCCCGAATAAATAAATAAATAAATCTTTAAAAAAAAAGTAAACTATAAAAAAATTAAAAAAAATAAAGGTCATAGAGGACAAACTCACAGCTAACATCATATATAATCAATGGTGAAAACCTGAAAGCTTTTCCTCTAGGATCAGGAAGATAAGGATGACCAATCTCAATCTCCTCACATTTATTTAATACAGTACTGTAAATCCTAGCCACAGCAATCAGGCAAAAAAACAAAAACAAAAGGCATCCAAATTGGTAAAAAAAAAAAAAAAAAAAAGTAAAATTAGCATTATTTACAGATGACATGAAACTATATACAGAAAACCATAAAGATACCACCAAAAAACTACTAGAATAAATGAATTCCATAAAGTTGCAGGATACAAAATCAATACACAGATATGGGCTGTACTTCTATATACTAATAATGAATTACCAGAAAGAGAAATTAAGAAAACAACTTCATTTGCAATTGCATCAGAAAGAATAAAATAATCTAGGAAAAAAATTAACTACAGAAGTGAAAGACCTGTGCTCTGAAAACTCTAAGACATTGACAAAAGAAATTAAAGAGGATGCAAATAAATGGAAAGATATATTCCATGCTCATGGATTAGAAGAATATTGGTAAAATGTCCACTACCCAAAGCAATCTCCAGATGAAATGCACTCCCTACCAAAATACCAATGGCATTCTTCACAGAACTAGAATAATCTTAAAATTTGTACAGAGCAACAAAAAGACCCCAAACAGCCAAAGTAATTTTGAGAAAGAAGAACAAAGCTGGATATCATGCTCCCTAATTTCAAACTATAGGAATTACAAAGCTATAGTATATATATAAATATACACACACACACACACACACACATATAGCATACCAGAAAGCTATAGTAACCAAAATAGTATTAGTATAGTACTTGTACAAAGATAGACACATAAAAAAATAGACACATAAATCAATGAAACAGGACAGAGAGCCCAGAAATAAAGCCACCCTTCCATGGTCAATTAATCTATGGCAAAGGAGGCAAGGATACGCAATGAGAAAAAGACAGTCTCTTCTATCAATCGTGTTGGAAAAACTGGGCAACTACAAGTAAAAGAATAAAATTGGATCACTTTCTCACGCCATCTACAAAAATAAACTCAAAATAGATTATAGATTAAAAATTTCAATGTAAGACCTGGAACAATAAAACTCCTAAAAGAAAACATTGATAGTAAAATCCTGGACATTGGTCTTTGAAATATTTTTTTTTGGGGGGGTACCTGGGTGGCGCAGCCAGTTGAGCATCCAACTCTTGGTTTAGTTCAGGTCATGATCTCAGGGTCCTGAATTTGAGCACTACACCAGGTTCCATGCTCAGCTCAGTAGGCTTCAGACTCTCTCTCTCCCTTTCCCTCTGCCCCTCCCCACTGCTTTCACGCTTGCACGTACTCTCTCTAAAACAAATCTTAAACAAAAAGAAAAAAAAATTTTTGGAGCTTCTCTTCAGGCAAGGACAAAGAAGTAAAACAAACAAATAGGACTACCTCCAACTAAAAAGTTTTTGCACAGTGAAGGAAATCATTAACAAAACAAAAAGGCAATTCTTGAATGGGAAAAGACATTTGTAAGTGATCTTTATTGTAAGAGATTAATATCCAAAATCTATCAAGAATTCATCTACAACTCAACATCAAAAAAAATATCCAATTTAAAAATAGGCCCAGGATCTGAATAGACATTTTTCCAAAGAAGGCATACAGATGGCCAATGGACACATGAAAAGATGCTAAACATCACTAATCATCAGGGAAATGCAAATCAAAACCATATCACCTTACACCTGTCAGAATGGCTATTATAAAAAAAAAAAATCCTCCCCCTCCACCCCCCTAAAAAAGCTTGGTGAGGATGTGGAGGAAAGGGAGCCCCATGTACTGTTGATGGGAATGCAAATTAGTGCAGCCACTATGGAAAACAGCGTGGAGGTTCCTCAAAAAATTAAAAGTAGAATTACCATATAATCCAGCGATTCTACTTCTGGGTATTTATCCCAAAGGAAGTGAAAACACCAATTTGAAAAAATATATGTATCCCTACGTTCACAGCAGCATTATTTATAATGGCAAGAATATGTAAGCAACAGATGAATGGGTAAAGAAGATGTGGCATATATACACAATGGAATATTAGCCACCAAAAAGAACGATATCTTGCCATTCATGAAAATATGACTGGACCTAGAGGCTATTATGCTAAGTGAAGTAAGTCTTACAGAAAGAAACAAATACTGATTTCACATATATGTGGAATCTAAAAAACAAAACAAAAACACAAAACAGAAACACTAATAAATACAAAGAACAAACTGGTAGTTGCCAGAGAAGAGAGGG